CTTCATCTAATCCCCAACTGAATTGTACTAAGAACAAAATCTATTTTCCTCAGAGAGAAATCTAAACATTGCTGCTCTTGAGTGTTACTAACCAAGGGACCAGGATTCCTTGGCCCCAGAGGAACTCATGTGAATAGTACTTGCAAACTTCTCCTCAATCCCATTTACCAATACAGAAAATATTTCCAAAGATTCAAAGTCTGACACCAGAGAAGTAATTATCAGTCTTCCTTGAGGAGATACAATATTCCCTCTGGGGATACTGATAAAGAACCATGTTCCAGTCACAGAAAACAGCATCTGGAATCCCAAGGCAAACAGACATTTTGGTGCTTGGTAGGCCTTGAAAACTAGAAAATAGGTTCACTGACTTCTTTGACTTACCACAGCCTCACTCTGATTAATTCTCAAATATCAAAGATGCAGTCAAGGATGGAGACTTTCATGAATTTCCAGAAAGCACTTTCAGCTAGTTCATGATGGAGGACCTAAAGACCAGGTGACCTTTGTTCTTTACACATAGTCCTTTCTCAATACTTCCAAAGAATTGGTCTTCAAGGCCCAGAAGACTGTTCGAAAAGGCTACAGGAGGAAAGAAACATCACACATGTGGAATAAACAATGTAATTTTCAAAAAAATTAAAAAGTACTCTACTTGTTTTTAAATTTAGATAGAGGAAAACCACTATTCGATAGATTTCAACAAAAACAGAAAATATATTGTAGGTCACCTCAAATAGAAGCTGTCACCAGAAAGCAATAGCTCCCTATTTCCCTTCACCTCAGCCCCTGGTTACCAACCTACTTTCTGTTTCTAAGACTTTGCTTATACTACATATGTCACATAAATGGCATTATATAACATGTGGTCTTTAGCACCTGGCTTCTTTCACTTAGTGAAATACTTCCAAAATTTAGATGAGGAGAAAGAAATGAAATGGAGCACAGGAGCTGGGGATAACAGAGCAAAGGACAGGACCAGCAAGATGATGGGGAGATGGAAGTAAACTAATGGAGACAGAAATTTTTGTTTTGGGGGGGGGGGGTACCAGGAATTGAACCCAGGGGCGCTTAACCACTGAGCCACATCCCCAGCCCTTTTTGTATTTTATTTAGAGACAGAGTCTCACTGAGTTGATTAGCACCTTGCCATTGCTGAGGCTGGCTTTGAACTCGTGATCCTCCTGCCTCAGCCTCCCTAGCCACTGGAATTCTAGGTGTGTGCCACGGCACCAGGCTAGAGACAGAAACTTTAAAAGATGGATAGAGAAAGGGAAAGAGGAGACTGAAAGAATTCCATCTTGGAGTTATGGGAGGGTGTAGGTCTAAAGGGAGGGTGGCTAAATAAGATAAAACACTAGTTGCCAACAGCAATGATGCAGCAGAGTAGTTACTTGACCTCTGAAACTTTTGCTAACTCTGCAACATCCTAGCCACCATCATTTTCCCCGTGGGAACATACTTGTGTATTTATTTTCAAACTGAAAGTTTATTTTTGAAATAAAAGTTTATTTACCTGTGGCATTCTGAAGGGTTTACATATTTATGAAGGAATGTCTTGGTTTATAGAATTGTCCCTAGGATCTTAGAGTTGGCAATTTTGTAGCTTTAACCTCAAGCTATTCATTTCTGAAAAGCTTATTTCCTAAAGCAACAAGATACCGCTTCACACCTATCAGAATGGGTTAAGCCCCAAACACTGATAAATCCCAAACCTGACAAGAATGTGGAACAACAGGAAGCCTCTTCATTGCTGGTTGGAAGGCAAAATGGTGCAGACACTTTAAAAGATAGTTTGGCAGTTTCTTTAAAAAAGCTAAATATATTCTTACCCTACAGTCCAGCAATCACACTCCTTGGTATTTGCTCCAATGAGTTGAAAAATTATGTCCACATAAAAACCTACTCACAAATGTTTACAGCGGCTTTATTTATATTTGCTGATACTTGTGAGCAACCAATGTCCTTCAAAAGGAAAACACATAGATAAATCTCAGTGTGTTGATAAAATGGAATATTATTTATCAATAAAAAGAATTTTCAAGCCACAAGAAGATGTGAATGATCTCTGAATGCATATTGCTAAATGAAAGAAGCCAATCAGAAAAGGTCACATATCATATGCTTCCAATTATATGGCATTATGGTAAAAGAAAAACTTTGGAGACAATAAAAAAGATCAGTGGTTGCCAGTGGTCCTGGGAGAGGAAGGGGAAGCACAAGGGATTTTTAGGGCAATAAAACTCTTTTGTATTGTACATAGTGGTTGATGCATGACATTATGTATTTATCAACCCCCACAGAACTGTATAACACAGAGTGAACCCTAATGGAAACTATGGGCTCTGGTTAATAATAATGTATCAATATGGATTCAGCAATTATAACATGGTTACCACATTAATGCAAAATATAACAATAAGAGAGACTGTGGCAAGTGAAAATGTAGGAGTATAGGGAGAGTGGTTGTAGGGATTCCTGTACTTTATGCTCCATTTTTTCTGTACATCTAAAGCCTTGGGCATGGGAGGGCCTTGTGCATGGGAGGCAAGCACTCTACCAACTGAGCTACATCCCCAGACCCCCATGATTTAAAATTATCTCAAATCAGTTTTAATCCTTAATATAATGGAAAAGTGTAAGTAGTTTTATATTGTATTGTTTAGGGAGTACTGCCAAGACATAAAGTGTACAACTTCAGGAAGATGTAATTGGATTTTTAAAATTTTTGTTTTTATTTTCAATTTGCAGCAGGTTAAAACCATGGATATTAAGGCCAAGTATGGTGGTACATGCCTATAATTCCAGTGGCTTGGGAAGCTGAAGAAGGAGAATCACAAGTTCAAAGCCAGCTTTAGCAATTTAGTGAGGCCTTAAGTACATTAGTGAGACCTGTCTCAAAATAAAAAATAAAAAGGGCTGAGGATGTGACTCAGTGGTTCAGAGCCCCTGGGTTCAATCCCTTGTACCCCCCAAATAATAATAGGTATTAAACCTGTAGATACAGGGATACAGGGGAACAATATTACCACAACATTTCTGGATTTAAAAAACAGAGATGTACAGACTTCCTTGCCTCTTGTGGCTTCTGATGGTAGCTTTCAATCTTTGGTATTCCTTGACTTTAAGCCATATCACCCCAATCTCAGTTTCTGCTTGACATTGTCCCTGTGTGTCTTTGTCTGTGTCTCCTAAGAGCAGTTGCATTGGATTAAGGACATGACCTCATCCTAATTCATTTCTGCAATAACTCTATTTCCAAATAAAGACATGTGCTAAGGTATGGGGCAGGGGGATTAGCATTTTAGTATCTCTTTTTTGGGGGGATACAATTCAACTAGCAGATGAATGAATTCAGTTATAGACATGTTTTGGCCTTTGGCCTGAAGCAACACCTTCTTACAAATGACACCTACTTAGAATAGCCTTGTTTTGGAAACAAGGGTTTATTTACTCATGGAATTCATAAAGTGTTGTGTATTCCTGGGGGGGATATCCTCAGATTGTAGATCTCTCCTTTGGAATCTTAATGGTGTCAGACTTTTGCCTTTACACCTTCCCTGTGACTATCCTAGGAAAAGCTCACAGTAGCCTTCTAATTATTGTGTCCAATTGATGTTTTTAGCACTTCACAGTGCCATTGACAGAGCTGACCACTCCCAGTATCTCAAAAATCTTCCCTTTCTTGACATAGGAGACATAACCTCTGCTACCTTCTCCAGTGTCAATGACCTTTCTTCCTCAGACCATCCTTTAAGCAATGGAAAATTTTCTGGCTCTCTCTTTGGCCTTCAGATCTTGTTTGACATCATTGTAGGTGATCCTATTTACTCTCATGGCCTTGGTTTTATGTTAATGATTTCCACGTCCATATCTCCAGCCTTGTTTTTTTTTTGAGCTTTAGTCCTTTGCAGACTGGTGAATCCAGGGGCTGATAGGACATCTCTACTAGAATAATTTGTGGGCCTTTCAAATTTAATACATCCCCCCAAAATTTCATTTATTAACTTCATTGCTTACCTCAGTGAAATCACCATTGATACCCTTCACACCCAGTCTGTAGTTCTGCCTTTTTTAAAAAAAAATTGTTCACTCATTTATTCAATTATTTTTATGTGTGTGCCTGTGAAAGAGCATTAGTACTCTGATATATTTGTGTGGGTATTTGTTTTTTGGTACTGGGGATTGAACTCAGAGGCACTTTATCACTAAGCTACATCCCCAGCCCCTGTTTATTTATTTATTTGGTACCTGGGATTGAATCCAGGTGTGCTTGACCACTGAGAAACATCTCCAGTCTGTTTTTATATTTTATTTAAAGATAGAGTCTTGCTGAGTTGCTGAGGCTTGCTTTGAGCTTGTGATCCTCCTGCCTCAGCCTCCTGAGCAACTGGGATTGCAGGCATGCACCTCCACTCCCAGTCCATTCTCCCTCTCTCAACTGGTCTTTACTTCTCCTGGTACTCACTACCTTTACCCCAATTCAAGCCGTTCTTATATTTTCCAGGACCATTTTAATGGCTTCCTGAATGGTTTGCCTCCCACTCCAGATGATACTTCAGCTGGCACTCACATGAAACTGGTTGTATTGGTGGCTCTCCACCACGTCAGAATGAAGTTTGTTTCCCTTGGTGAGGCATTCAGAAGTTGGCCTTTTGTACTTTGAGCCTCATCTTTTGGTCTGCTCCACCTGCTCCCCAAAGTTTCAGTTATATCAAACTACTTGTAGGATCTCACTGTGCATTATGGCTGTATAAGTTTACTTGAACTTTTCTCTGTCTGGAATGTTCCCCCATCTCTACCATGAAGTCTTTAGAAAAAGCTTTGGGCTAGACCTCTTGTCTAAAGAGATAAGAAAGTTGGGTCTATGTGACAGCTTTTCCCCCCATCTCTACCATGAAGTCTTTAGAAAAAGCTTTGGGCTAGACCTCTTGTCTAAAGAGATAAGAAAGTTGGGTCTATGTGACAGCTTTCTCCGGGGGAACTTCCAATAGGCACACTGCCGGTCAATTGCCCCCTTTGCTTCTGGGCTCTGGAGCACCATGGCATAGTGACCCTGGATTTCTGCCAGGAGCTTCAGGGCAAAGACAACTTTTGTGGTTGGTGGACTCTTCCGGATGTATGTCAGTTCCAGGTGAGGCTTTGAGGCTGCCAAGTTTTCAGACTGGATCTCCTGCTGGCAGGCGGACAGTTTCTCCATGCCCTAGGCGCCAGCATTGTGAAGGTTTCTGCCAGGGGTTCCATTTCCCCATAGTTGCACAGACAGCTAGATCTTCCCTGTCTTAGGGCCTGCCTCAAAAGCAGATGGGTGAAAGGGACTGTTCTAATCCCTTTGGCTTCTAGGCATGGGACTCAATCCATAAATGATCTGTTTCTCTGTTATAGAATATCCTGCCCCCCCCCTCCATTTATGCAATCAGCCAATATTTACTGGTGGAGAACTGTATGTCAAGCCCTGTACTAAATCCTGAGAGCCCCAGAATGCATAAAACAAGCCAAAAGAAATACTGCTTTTTTTTTCCAGCCTACAGAAGAAAATGGGAGACAGGCATTATACAGAAAGATCTACAAATATTTAACAATAATGATGAAAGGGAAAAGTGCCATAAAGGAAAGGTACAAGGTTCTCTGAATGAACCAGTCTTTCTTTTACCAGGCTGATTTGTGGGAGAAATGAAATTCTTCAAATGAGCACAAAGCAACTGCTTTTCTTGAGGTTTTAAGTTTTTCTTCTCTATTTGTATGAGTTGTTCATATATAAATGCTATTAACCCCTTGTTTATCATATTTGTTATGATTACTTTCCAAATTTTAAAAATCTAGTCAAATATATATATATTTTTTTGTACCAGGAATTGATCCCAGGGACACTTAACCACTGAGCCACATCCCCAGCACTTTTTAATATTTTATTAGAGACAAGGCCTTGCTAAGTTGCTGAGGCTGGCTTTGAACTACTGATCCTCCTGCCTCAGCCTTCCAAGTCACTGGGATTAAGGCATGTGCCATGGCACTCAGCTAAATCTAGTCAAATCTAAACATCAGCTACATCTGAAAATTACAGGCAAGTTGCATACAGGATGTCCCCAACTTGAGTTGATCTAATATTTCCTTATGATTAGGGGGTATCTGCTGGCCTTCTCCACTACAGTTACTCTTTTCCCCTTTGCTTATTATTTTGTAGATTCCTTCTCTACCCTGCTTGGCCTCCAATGCCCCAAACCAGGTTGCTGTTCCATGGATGCCTTCCTCATCCCTGAATGGGCAGCCTCATTACCCTCTTTGGGTTCTGACACCCCATGTAGGGCCTCTCTTATGTGTGGACACCCTGCCCACACTGCAGACTGAAACCCCTGTACCTGCTTGGCATCTAACTCTATATACTACTGTGCTGGGAGTCTGATGACCCCTTTCTTTGAGAGCCCTTGCTCGTTCCTCCAAGCCACCATGCTCCTGACCATTTACTGACTTGGGGACTGAATTGTTCAGGAAGAGGAAGCAGAAGAGTTATACCCATTTTAAAAGCTCTACTCACCCTGCTACCTCCAGAGCCTGGGGCCTCCGTGCCTTTCACAGGGATTACCTGGATTAACACAAAATGTTCCACCTTTTTCAAGAATCCCTTTAAATGTTCTCTCTCTCTCTCTCTCTCTCTCTCTCTGAAGCATTTTCTCAGCCCATCCACATGACCTAGACTTGACTGGTGGCAGTGGATATAAAGAGAAGTTGATGGCTATAGAATGCATGATGAAGGCAAAATTGACAAGACCAGCTGATCAGTTGTATATGAGAGCAAAAAAGAAAAATCAAAAATGACTCAGGTGTTGACTTCAGTAACTGAGTGGTTCTAATAACAGAGATGTGGAAGATTGGAGAAGAGACCTATTGGAGTGAAAGGAGGAAGTCAAGAGTTCTAAATTTTGACTTCTATTTGGTATCCAAGTGGAAATATTAAGTCAGCAACTGGATATAGATCTTTTAAATTTGCTGTATTTTAAAATTCCTATCATATTTGCCATGCTAATACTCAATTCTGGATAAGTAAAGTTATGTTTTTTTTTTTCTGTTCCTTTTACGGGTTTATAACCTAGAATTCAAAGATGGGCTGTGTAAATGTTTCAAATTTATATGAAAATTTTCCATATACATATGTATGTGTTTTATCTGAATAGACAATACACTGTGTTAAGCATTTAATTTTTTGGTGGTGCTAGGGATTGAACCCAGGGCCTTGTGCCTGCTAGGCAGGCACTTTACTACTGAGCTATATCCTCAGCCCCCAACAATGCACTGTATTTATCACATTTCAAAAAGGATCCCAGACTTAAAAAAAAATTTTGAGAACTATTGCATTCAATGGTACTGGCAAATATTAAAAACAAACAATAAAGATTAGTCCCACTGTAAATTCATGTTAATTAAGCTCAGCTAGTTCCTTAGTCTTCTTTGGTGCTTTTTAAAAAATACCTTTATTCTATTTATTTTTTTTAATGTGGTGCTGAGGATCAAACCCAGTGCCTCACACATGCAATGCAAGCACTCTACCACTGAGCCACAATCTCAGCCACTTAGTGATACTTTTTACTCTTTTACCCCTATTTATAGTTCAGGAGTTAAAATTTAAGAGCAAAAATACCTATAAAACTCAGTGGCTGGGAGGCTGAGGCAAGAGGGCCACGAGTTAAAAGCCAGCCTCATCCATTTGCAACTTAGCAAGACCCTATCTCAAAGTAAAAAATAAAAAAGGGCTGGGATGTGGCTTGGTTAAGTGCCCCATGGGTTCAATCTCTGATAAAAAAAAAAAAAAAAAAAAAAAAGGAAAACAAAGCAGAACCCTACAGAAAAAGTACCTTTAACTTTCAAATGCTTCCAGAGACCTATTAGATATTCTGCTTGGTGGGTGGAACAGAAAGAACATATAGTCAAAAGACTCTGCCTAAGACTAAGTAGTGTGTGTTTGGGAAAGTCATCTAACCATTTTTAAGTCTCTGTTTTCTCATCTGTAAATAAAGACAATAATATTTTACAAAGTAGTAGGGGTGTTTTTGTTTGTTCATTTTGTTTTGTTTTGTTACTGGAATTTGAACCCAAGGCCTCACAGACATGCTAGGCAAGTACTCTACCAGTGAGCTACTTTCCTAGTCCAAACAAGGTTTTTAATGGCATAACTGCAACTAATATGTATGAAAGCATTTTGTGCATATTTAAGCTACAGACAACATGCTGAAAATGAAAAGTGAATCAGGCACCATGGCACAGGTCTGAAACCCCAGCAACTTGGGAGACTGAGGCAGGAGGATCACAAGTACAAGGCCAGCCTCAGCAACTTAATGATACCCCATCTCAAAAAGAGAAAATAAAAAGGGCTAGGGATGTGGCTTAGTGGTTAAGCACCCCTGGGTTCAATTTCCAGTACAAAAAAAAAAAGGCAAATGAGAATTGGCTGAAATTTCAACAGTATGGCATTTCCTCTTTTAAAACAAATTGAGAGGAAGGGTCACCAGGGCAAAGGTCTGGAAGCAATATGAAGTAGACTGAGAATTCATAATTAGTGATTGATTCAATGTGTTTTGCTGTAAACATACTCCTGGAAATATTTTGAGAGTCTTCAGCTGTAAATCTCTAGGCACCAAGTTGTGCCAAACAGGGAGGGGTTCTCCTTGGGTGGAATGATGCAATCCAGGATGTATCTGTTTGATTCCCCTCATCTACCTCCACCCCCACACACCACCCCTTCCCCCAGTGTCCCCTACCAGCAGAGTCAGAACGGATCTGACTCTCCAGAAATGTGGGAACGTGGAACAGCCTGAGGGCAGAAAGGGGCTGAGAAAAGGCAAACAATCCTTCCTGCCAATTTTCCCTCCCTTTACCTCTTGCCCCCAAAAACTCTATAGTCTCCACCTGGTTCTCATCCTGTTCTCTTCCTTTCTACCATGGAGCTTGAAATTTCTTTTTCTTTATTTTTGTTTTTTAATTTTTTGGTACCAGGGATTGAACCCAGGGGTGCTTAACCACTGAACCAAATCCCCACCCCTTTTCATATTTTTATTTAGAGACAGGGTCTTGTTGAGTTGCTTAGGGCCTTGTTAAGTTGCTGAGGCTGGCTTTCAACTCATTATCCTCCTGCCTCAGCCTCCTGGGCTACTAGGATTACAGGTGTGTGCCACAGCTTTTTAATTTTAATTTAATTTTGTTTTATTTTTGGTACTAGGAATTGAACCCAGAAGAACTTTCTGACTGAGCTACATTCCCAGCTCTTTTTCTTTTATCTTGAGACAGTTCTGCTGGCCTCAAACTTGGGATCCTCCTCTTGCCTCAGCCTCCCAAGTAGCTGAGATTACAGGCGTGCATGGCCACTATGTCTGGTACAGTTTCTTAAGGAACTTTTGAAGACTCATCATCTTTCTAGACCCTAGTGAAGGAACTTTTCATGGCATCACCCTACAAAATGTGACAAAGAATGTGTGTGAGTAATACTTTCTTAGTGCATTTGAAATCCAGCCTGATATTTGCTGTCTTGTATTCCTGCTATAAAGATCAACCTAGGGCTGAGATTGTGGCTCAGTGGTGGAGTGCTTGCCTAGCATGTGTGAGGCACTGGGTTCAATCCTCAGCACCACATAGAAATAAATAAAATAATGGCATTCTGTCCATTACAACTATAAAAAATATATATATATATTTTAAAAAAGATCAACTTTGCCAGAAAAGAGAGCTAAAAGTCTTGAAAGTTCTAGTCAAACCATGTCTTTCCAGCATCATGCATTACTAGAGTAGCTGGCTTAGGTAATGAACAAATACTGAAACAATATGGTCTTTTTTTTTTGAGTCTTTTCAATTGATGATTTTTCAATAAAAGATAATATTAAGTAATTCCATATACTAGGTATTACTGAGATTCCAGATATTACTGGATACTACTGTAGTGCAGTTGAATCCAATATGGGTAGCACAGTGGAATGTACCTAAGGGGAAGTATTAAAATCAAAAGGAGTCCAACCCTAGAGAGCATGATTCATTTGATCAGGGCTGGGAGATGGTTGGTGTGGGCGGGGCATAGGGTATTCTAAAAATTCCCCAGGTAAAACAGTCTATGAGTTCCTCAAACAATTAAGTATAGAATCACTATATAATCCAGCAATTCCATTCTTAAGTATGTGTCTGAGTGTAGTGAAAATGTGTTTTCACAGAAACTTGTGC